TTTATTCTGAGAGCTCAATATGCTAAGGTCTGTAAACATTAAGCACCATCTAGTAAATAGTGAGTGTTCAATCACTGTTAGTGGTGGTACTGGAAAATATCATGAATGCAGAGGCCTTACCTTTGTCTTCTGGCTTTCTGTCTCTGCAGGCCTTACATACCCCTTTAAAAAGCTAGGGCTTCTCCATCAGCATATCAGTTCCCAAGGAGTAGGCTGGGCTTTGGCATCTCCTAGTTGAAGATGTAGCCAGAAGGGATGGGAGTTGAGACCCCCATTTCCCCAAAGAGGTTATAAGCCTCCTCCCCAGACAGTCTTGAAGAGAATAAGAGGTTATTGTACATAATCCTCCCTCCCTTGGGCCTCAGTTTCACTGTCTGTGGCCTGTGGGAAGAGAGTGCTTCCTCTTCACAGTCTCCATGGCAACCGCGATCGATGTTGGTGTTGGTAGTGTCCTCCTGACAAGAGAGGTCATTGCCTTCTCCACCCCCTTATCTTCTCACACAATTCCGTGTCGATATAGTTACACAATGCAGACCCAGTCTCCCAATCATACAGCAACACACCCATACTACCCAACTTCAGACCTACATCCCACAACCCTCACCCCCATACACACTCAGAAATACACACACTCACATGCAGCCCATAGACACTCAGTCTCCGTATCGATCATATACAAAACACACACCTTTTGTGACAAGTGCATAATCATATGTAAACGCACATAAAAGGGACATATGGGAAACACCCTGATGCCCCTAATATATTCTGACCCATACATCTATTACTTACCCATGTGCAGATCATGTCTTGCGTGCATGCACCTTGCCTTTACCTGCCTTCTAAGTACAGCAGCTCTATCTGTCCCCTCCCTGTGGCACAGAGTGGCCACCAGTTTCTGGGAGAAGCTCTCAGGGACAGAAGCTGTTTGCTACCTCTCTCCATGACCATCTTCTTCACAGCAAAATTTCCTGAAGATGTAACCAGTTCAAAGGCTGAGGTAGCCCATGTAGAGGAAGAGGAAGAGGCTGTGGCTGTGGCTGGGAGGCTGTGGGGCAGGGGGGGGGGCGGGGAGTGATGAGGGAGGAGACCCAGGGCGGGAGATGGGGAGGGAGAATGCAGGGCGGTCCTACTCGGGCAGGGGAGCCCAAGGGGGAAGTAATGTGAAGCAGCTGGCCAGTGTGTCTGAGCCTCAGCTTGATGGAGGCCATGCCCCGGGCCCACCATGAACCTGGATGGGCTGGAGATGGTCGCTGTGCTTGTGGTCCTCGCGCTTTTTGTCAAGGTCCTGGAACAGTTTGGCCTCTTTGAGCCTGTCTCCTTGGAAGGTAACCCAGGTGTCTGGGCTTGTCTGAGCTGCTGGCTGCAGGGTCAGCACTCTGCAGTGTTGGGAAGGGGGTTGCACCATCTTCATGACTGGGGACGAGGGTGAGCAGGTGAGTGATGGACACCTGGGGGAGGAAGAAGTTGGAGTCTGGGGACAGGATCTGGGACAGAACAAGGGGTCTTCTAGGCGGTCTGGGCTAGGGAAAGTGGGAATGAGGGACAAGGTTTCTTTCTTTTAATTTTATTTCTTTCATTTACTCACTTTTGTTCCCCTATGTATATGGTACTGAGGAATCGAACCCAGAGCTTCATGCATGCTAGGCAAGCACTCTACCACTAAGCCACATTTCCAGCTCCGTGGGACAAGGTTTCTTGTCAGGGAGGACTGGAGTGTGGAGAGAAGATGGTGAGGGGAATCTGGAATGTACTAAGATGGGTCTGGAGGCAGGCAGGATCCTGAGATAATGCCAGGGCAAGTCCCTTTTGGAGCCAAGGTCCCATGAGGTTATGAAGATATGACTCTACACCTCCAACTGTGTGGTGTAGTTACAGGATGTGTATAAATCAGTGTGTGAGAAATGGAGTGTCACTGTGTGTTCCTATATGAGAGGTGACAAAGTGTATTATCTCTATCAAAGCCTGTGTATATGACAGATAGGTGACTGCGTGTGTCAGAATGACTGGGTATGTGGCTTTCTGTGATGATAGATGTGACCATGTCCAAGCAGGACAGAGGATGTGGCTAAGCCCCTCTGGGTATTGGGTGATGTTCCCAGAGTTCCCCAAGCTCCATACCCAAAGCTTGGGATGGAAGGAGTTCTGGAGGCATAGGAGTGGGAGCATTTTAAATGAGATGTGTATAACTCTGCTCAGACCAGGAGGTTTAAGGAGTAGATCTGATCAGGTGCTCTACTTCCCAAGCCCCTTGCCTTTCCAAACTCCTATCAGTCTCTAGGTCTTCAATGTTAGAAGCAGGAATTCATTTCCTCATCCCACCTCAAAGAAAAGAAATCTCTACCTCACCAAACCTAGAGTTTTGGCATCCCCTTCCTCTTCACACCAAGAACTATTCAGCTCTTCAGGATCTGCTGTTGCTTAGTAATGCCATGGACAAACAGGACAGTCAAGAACCATAATGGGGTAGAGGGAAAGGCTGCAGGGTAAACACCTGAAATAAATTGGAAAGATGCTAAAGAAGTTTGGGAGAGAAGAAAGATCCATGAATTGCCTGTTCTAAGGCTCAATAAGAGTGCACCCCATCCTCTGCTGTAGTCACTGGAGTAGGGACTAGAGAATTCATCCTGTTACACTGAGGAGGCTGGTCTGAGCTTGTTTTCATCCTGGCTGGAAAAGATGATGTAGGTTGGCCCCAACTTTCCCCTTTAGACTGTTTGGTAGGAAAAAGGGTCATCTGTGAAAATCTAGCATCCTGTAGGCTGAAGGCAGTCCCTTTCTTTTCCCACCTTCAGAGGAGCCTAGAGGATACTAAGGCTTGGGAATGAGCAAGTAAGGGGGAGGAGGTGGATAAAAGAGGTGGGAGAGCCACCCCCAGTCTGATGACTGTACCATCAAAAGCCCCAGGCAATCCGGCTTTGGGAAACCAGAGTCCTGACTAATGGAGCCCTGGGCCTGGGGCCAGGCCACCATCGATCCCCAATCACAGCCTGTCCCACGGCCGCCCCTCCCACCTCTCTCTAGCTCCTGGAAGGGGTGGAATGAGGAGGGGAGGAGGCCACCATTACATAGTTAACCCTTAGGAGCAAGGGCTAGTTCTGATGGAATTGGGGGGTGGGGGCCTTGGATCCAGGAGTAACATAACTAAAGAATTTAGCAATGAACTAAGATCAATTTTTTGTTGTTATTGTTGTTGTTGGTCGTGGGGCTTGAACTCTGGGCTTGGGCGCTGTCCCTCAGCTCTTCAACTCAAGGCAAGCTCTCTACCGCTTGAGCCACAGCACCACTTCCGGTTTTCTAGTGGTTTATTGGAGATAAGATTCTCACGGACTTTCCTTCCCCAGGCTGGCTTTGAACCATGATCATCAACCTCCTGAGTAGCTAGGATTACAGGCGTGAGCCACTGGTGCCTGGCTAAGACCAATTTTTGTCAATGAGTCAGGTCCACTGAGTTTTGACCTAGGAATCTGGAGATGAATCCACCTGGGAAACACATAAACATGCACAACAATGCTGAGGGTTCCCTGAGATGCCTGTAGAGCTGAAAAATACACGCAAAATAAGGGAAAGAGAAGGAAGAAGAAACAATGAGCCCCACTTACCCCTTAATACATCAAAATAGTTATTATTGCCTCAAAATCTACTGTCCTGGGCTGGGAATGTGGCTTAGTGGTAGAATGCTTGCCCAGCATGCATGGGTTCAATTCCTCAGTTACCACATAAACAGAAGTGGCACTGTGGCTCAAGTGGTAGAGCGCTAGCCTTGAGCACAGAGAGGATCAAGGACAGTGCCCATGCCCTGAGTTCAAGCTCCCAGATTGGGGGGGGAAATCTACTACCCTCCTTCCTTCAAAGAACAAGGTAGACTGAGAATTGGAAAAGGGCCACATTTTGCATGTAGCTGTTAGCTGATGACGAGCCTTGGAATGGAGGGTTACAAGAAAGAAAAATACGGGCTGGGAAGGTGGCTCAGTGGTAGAGCGCTTGCCTTGCATGCTCGAGGCCCTGGGTTCGATTCCTCAGCACCACATAAGCAAAAAGAAAAAAGCCGGAAGTGGTGCTGTGGCTCAAGTGGTAGAGCGCTAGCCTTGAGCTGAAGAGCTCAGGGACAGCGCCCAGGCCCAGAGTTCAGGCCCACGACTGGACCCTCCCCCCCCCCAAAAAAAAGAAAGAAAAATAGACATAGTCAGAACCAATGAAGCCTCTGTGAGTGAGTGCCATGGGACTTAGGTCACTTATAATATTGGTATGACATGGTAACTTTAATATGTGTGATGATATTCTTAGCACACTTAGTGTTAGGTCACAGGGCCATTGTATGTTTTTGTGGATTTAATCATGTTGTGTGAAATAGCTTCTGTGGGTTTCAGTATGTTAGGCTTTTTGTATGTCACATTTGTGCGTTTGTGTTAGGACTACTAGGTAAAAGTATATGTGCCTGTGTCTGTTTGGGAGCATGTTTATTAGGCCATCAGGAGTGTTATAGGATATCAAATTGTCACTGGCACCTCTCTGTGAATTATCATTCTACACTGTTACTATGTGTGCTGGTTAACTCTGTGTGTGTGTGTGTGTGTGTGTGTGTGTGTGTGTATGTGAGAGAGAGAGAGAGAGAGAGAGAGGAGAGAGGAGAGAGGAGAGAGGGAGGGGAAGGGAGAAGTATTCATACCCAGACAGTCTTTATATTGGACATTACCCTGTGAGGTCCAGCTACAGCATCCAAGACAAATGAAACCCTTTGCCTGCCTTATAATCACAGGCCATGTCCCCTTAATACAGAGTGCCCAAGCTCCACCTCTATGAATTTTCTTTGCCTGTGAGACCTAGTAGACTTCCCAAACCCACCTCAGGCTATCGGATGACTCCCTTTCCACCCCCCCCCCCCCCATTCTCCTATTCCTGTCTGTGCCAGGGTTGAGTTGTTGGTGGGAGGGGAAAGGGGACAGAGCAGAGGGTCAGTGGGAGTTAATATACCTTCCTGGGGTCTTCTCTCTTCCCAGGCCACCCTCCAGGGCCCACTAAAAAAGCGCTGAAGCAGCGTTTCCTCAAGCTGCTGCCCTGCTGCGGGCCCCAAGCCCTGCCCTCAGTCAGTGAAAGCAAGTGCCTCTGCTGTGCTTCTGGGGGCGGTGCTGTGTGTGTGTGTGTGTGTGTGTGTGTGTGTGTGTGCGCGCGCGCGCGCGCAGTGTGAGGGGTGGGGATCAGTGCAGGGGAATCCAGGTTGTGAGTGGGTGGCTACTGTGCAAGGTTGTTGGGGGGGGGGGGTGGACAGATCCTGAGGGACTGTTGCTGGGGGCGGCGGGTGTATTGGATGTGGCCACTGGTGGGCCACAGCCTGGATCCATGGTGGGCTTGGACAGTGTAGCAGGGGCTGTTAAGGTTCCAGGTGTCCCTTGACTGTGTGGCGGCCCTGCGTAGAATTTGGGCCTCAGAGATGTATGTCACCTATGACCCCCTGCATGCAACAAGGTGGTTGCAGGTGTAGAGGAAGGAACCCACCTTCCTCCAGATTCTTAGCTATCCTTAAGGATCCTTTGATTTTTTTTTCTCTCCCAGCCTGGTCCCCAACTCAGCTCCCTCTTTTTTTTTTTTTTTTCTTTTTGTCAGTGGTGGAGCTTGAACTCTGGGCCTGGGCGCTGTCCCTCAGCTCTTCAGCTCAAGGCGAGCGCTCTACCACTTGAGCTACAGCGCCACTTCCGGTTTTCTTGTGGTTTATTGGAGATAGGAGTCTCACGATCTCTCCTGCCCGGGCTGGCTTTGAACCGTGATCCTCAGATCTCAGCCTCCTGAGTAGCTAGGATTACAGGCGTGAGCCACCAGCGCCCGGCTTAGCTCCCTCTTTCTCTAAGTCTCCATTTCTTAGTTGGGCCCTGCCTTCCCCTACAGAATCCTGAGTTCTGCAAGCTATCAAGGCCCGTTTTGTAGCTAATGGTGCTAGTGTTTGATTCTACCTGAAGGGATAGATTTGCGAGTGAGTGCGTGGGGTCTGTGTTCTGTTGGGCGTGTGCTGATTACGCGTGCCTTTGCGGCCGGGCTGGGGTGTGTGCATTGCAACACGCAGGTCTGTGAGATCTGTGAGTGTGGGGGCACGGGGAGGGTCTGCAGTGGGCCGGGTCCTCCGCCTTCTCAGTGACAGTTCGCTCCCTCCAGCGTTAGCCGCCCCAGCCTCCCTCCGCCCCCACAGACCCCGCCCGCTGGATCCAGGTGACTTACTCTCCTGGTGGGGGCGGGAGTGGGGCTGGGGCTGGGCCTGTGGGAGTTGAGCCTGGTCTGCTTGCCTGGGGGCTGGACCGTGGGAGCTGGGGGCGGGGCTGAGGTAGGGGCGGGGCCAGGATTGTGGTCCGGTTGGAGGTTGGCTGGAGCTGGGCGGAGCATGGCTCAGGCATGGCTGGGGACCGGAGGATTTGGACTTACCGAGGCTGGGGCTGCAGGTGTTTGAGTGCCTGCGCTGTCTCGTGCCTGCTTTTCCCTCTCCTCCTTTTTTGGGAAGAAGATGCGGCAGGAGGCCTTCCCCTCTAACCAGGGATCAGAGGCCCAAGGACAAGCGCTGAGTCCAGACCAGTCACTCTGGGGCCAGGCCTGGCCTTAGCCCATCAACAGGTCTTGAAGCTGACTAGCGTCTTCTCTGTTTGCCATATCCTCAGCTCGGGGTTCAGTGAACTAGCAGTCAGATCATCAGTGTGGAAGATGAAACAAGGAGGGTGTATGGGGGGGGGTTGAAGATGGTCCTGGGGGCCGGGCCTGAGGTGGGGCTGTCCCCCACCGCTTCCTGCAGACAGCGTGGAGGACGAATTTGAACTCTCCACCGTGTGTCACCGGCCAGAGGGTCTGGAGCAGCTGCAAGAGCAAACCAAGTTCACACGCAAGGAGTTGCAGGTCCTGTACCGGGGCTTCAAGAATGTGAGTTTGAAGGCAAGACCGAACTGGGCGAGTGTTGAAGCACAACAGGCAGGGCGAATGACCTGTTGCTTTTGAGAAGACAGGAGGAAGGGACATGGGTGGGAGACCATATTTCCAGCCTGAGCTTCAGAACCAGGGCCAGAACAGAGGCAGACTGTAAATTGGGGGATTTAGTAACATGATTTTAATTTGCACACTGGGGAAGAAGTCTTTCTGGCTTTTACCTGAGCCACTTGATGAGTCCCTGGAGGCATGAAGTTTTTTTTTTTTCCTTGCTCTGTTTGTCTCTGGCCAAGGTGAGGTGGGGGAAGGGCAGTGAATAAAAACAGGTTTTGTGTGTGCCCCAAAACTCTTCCTTCCCTCCTAGGAATGCCCCAGTGGAATTGTGAATGAGGAGAACTTCAAGCAGATTTACTCTCAGTTCTTTCCTCAAGGAGGTGAGGTGGCAAGGTCCAAAGGGAAGCAGTCTAGGCTGAGTGGGGGAGAGGGCTCTGGAGGGCTGGGTATGCCAAGGTGATCAGGGGGTGTAGGGGAGCTGCACAGAGCAATCCTCTCCTGTCCGGAAACCTAGCTTAATTCCATACTCATCCTATAGATTCCAGCACCTATGCTACTTTTCTCTTCAATGCCTTTGACACCAACCATGATGGCTCCGTCAGTTTTGAGGTGAGCTGGGGGAGATGGACTAGCAAAGCCTACTTCCTGGGCCTTCAAGGCCAGTATCTCCAGGCCAAACCCAAGGCTTGAGTGAAGACACAGATCTCTCTATCTCCTTCCTAGGACTTTGTGGCTGGTTTGTCAGTGATTCTTCGTGGAACCATAGATGACAGGCTGAATTGGGCCTTCAACTTATATGACCTCAACAAGGATGGCTGTATCACTAAGGAGGTGCAGGGCAGCTTGAAGGGCTGGGAGGCTACTATATTGGTGTGTGTGGGGTGGTGGTGGTGGTGGTGGTTGCAAAGCCATATGGGAAGAAAGCAACCCATGTATGTATCACCAAGAAGGGCTAAAATCCCAGGCCTCTTGGTTTGGAGACTAGAGCTTCTGAGGAAGGGATTTTCTTCTCTCGTGGACTACCAGGAAATGCTGGACATCATGAAGTCCATCTACGATATGATGGGCAAGTACACATACCCTGCACTCCGGGAGGAGGCCCCAAGGGAACATGTGGAGACCTTCTTCCAGGTACCTGGGACTGGGTGGGTTTGAGGGCCTTGGAGTAAAGGGAAGAACCAAAAAGGGGATTTTTCTGAGTTTTTACTGCTCTCTCCTACTGTCCTTTTTCTCCTCCCTGGCTGGCCACCCGCTTGTAGAAGATGGACAGAAATAAGGATGGTGTGGTGACGATCGAGGAATTCATTGAGTCTTGCCAAAAGGTACAGCCCTACCATCTACATTTCTCTGGTCTGGACTCCAGGTCTGAATCAGTGATATAGGAAAAGGCTCCTTTGGGTAGAGTGTGTCTTCCCCCCTCACTCCCTTCCCCCAACACTGTTCCCTCTGATTAGGGAGGGCATGCCCCTTCCTTTTTTTTTTTTTTTTTGGAGGGGGAGGTCATGGGGCTTGAACTCTGGGCTTGGGCGCTGTCCCTCAGCTCTTCAGCTCAAGGCGAGCGCTCTACTGCTTGAGCCACAGCACCATTTCTGGTTTTCTATTGGTTTATTGGAGATAAGAGTCTCACGGACTCTCCTGCCCGGGCTGGCTTTGAACCGTGGTCCTCAGATCTCAGCCTCCTGAGTAGCTAGGATTCCAGGCGTGAGCCGCCGGCGCCCAGCGTTGCCCCTTCCTTATCCCAAGTTTCTCTGGCTTTCCCTCTGCCTCTAAATGTCCCCATGTCGGATTAAATGTCCTTCCTCCTGTATCTGACAAGCTTTTTTTCCCCTTCTCCCTCTCTTTCTTTCTCCAATCTGCCTCCCTCACACCATGACCACAGGACGAGAACATCATGAGGTCTATGCAGCTCTTTGACAATGTCATCTAGCTCCCCAGAGAAGGGGAGACAATGTGTCCTGGGGGGAACCATGCTCTAGTCCTAGTCCAAGTGGACCTCACCTTTTCATCCTGGATCTGTCCTCATCCTAGCTGTACCCCGGGGGCTGTAGGGATCCAAGAGCCTGGAGCTTCTGTAGTACAGATCCCTGGAGCTAAAGGGGCCAGATAGTGAGCAAAGTGCATTTGGAGGGTCTTCCTATCTCCCAGCAGCTTTCACTTCCTTCCTGCCCGAGACCCAGTGCTGAGGGCGCCCCTGCTGTGGGCACTGAGTGTTTTCCTACCATCCACCCTAACTCTAGAAACAACACTAGACAGAATGTTCTCCTGCTATGGTGCTTCTCCCATCCCTGATCTCACAAACATCCCCTAATACTCCCTTCTCAGAGAGGATGCTCTGTCCTTGGCACTAGCTGAAATTACAGACCAGTCTTTGGGAGAGAGACAAGAATGTAGAAGAAATCTTAGGCCCGAGTCAGTGGTTAGATCTTAGGAGCTGGTTGGGGTAGAGAACCGAAAGTATCAGCAGATCATGATCTCTCAGGTTCCACAGATCTGCTACCCCAGGCCATCAGCATATGAGTTCCTAGTGTTTACAGAAGGCCTTAGAAACATCCCAGAAATTTACAATAACCACCTTTCTCAGTGTCCTAGGAGAGCCCAGGATCCAGATATCTGGCTCATTCCTGGAATTCCTACCTCTCTCTCCTTTTGTTTGTATGATGGTGGTTGGCAGGAGAAGATGGGTAGGAGACATCCTGGCTGATGCCCACAATTTCAGCCTATCTTTCCTGCCCATTCACCTATTTTGATGGCTACAACTTTGAGTTTTCATTTGCCATGTCCTCTGGATCTGGAGGCATGGAGTGAGCCAGGATTATTCTGAACTTGGGTCCTACCACTCTTCTCAGTGGATGCCTTAGGGGGAGAGGGAAAAAGGCAGGCAGGCATAGTACCTGAACCCAGTGTGGGGGCATTCATTAGAATCTTTGATCAACCCAGGCTCTACCCCACATAGCCTCCTTTTCCTCTACTCAGTATACCCAGAGATGTTCCTTAACATACCAAGAGGGCAGGGACCATAGGACCCAGGTCCCACCTCATTGTCAGCACCCCTGCCATGCTGCTACACCCTTTATATACTTGCTTGTCCTATTTAGCTCAGACTCCCAGTTAACTAGAATCTGAGGGGAAAGGTCCCAGGAGCTTCCTACCCACCCTATCAGACACTGTTGACTGCTTTGCATTTTTGGCTCTTCTGTATATTTTGTAAAATAAGAAATTCACTGATCCAATAAAACACTATGGCTATGCACATATTGCTGTTTGTCTTTTTGTCCCATCCCAAAATCTGAACAACTCTGAAATCACATTTCTTTTTTCTTTTTTTTTTTTTTTTGGGGGGGGGGGTCCAGTCGTGGGGCCTGAACTCTGGGCCTGGGCGCTGTCCCTCAGCTCTTCAGCTCAAGGCTAGCGCTCTACCACTTGAGCCACAGTGCCACTTCCAGTTTTTTTCTTTTTGCTTATGTGGTGCTGAGGAATCAAACCCAGGGCCTCAGGCATGCAAGGCAAGCGCTCTACCACTGAGCCACCTTCCCAGCCCCTGAACTCACATTTCTAAAGCCTTTTACATCCTTCAAGGAAGTGCTTGTTGCTGGGTGCCAGTGGCTTATGCCTGTAATCCTAGCTACTCGGAGGCTGAGATCTGAGGATTGCAGTTGGAAGCCAGCCAGGGAAAGAAAAGTCTGTGAGAATCTTACCTCCAATAAACCACTTAGAAAAAGCTGGAAGTGGTGCTCTGAAGCACTGGCCTTGAGCACAAAGACACTTGAGGACAGTGCCTAGACCCTGAGTTCAACCCCCAGGCCTGACAAAAAATAAAAATAAAAACAAAAAACAAAGTGCTTGTCTTTCATATCTGACCATGCCTCATGATTCAGTTTCTGGAATGATTGGAAACCCATCTGACCTCAGCCCCCACTCCCCATGACTCTCCTACCCACACTCTGGAGGAGACAGGGACAAATTGTGGATGTCCCAAAGACCATGTATGCCAAATATACTACCTATCTAGTTATTTTTGTGCTGGTCCTGGGGTTTGAACTCAGGGTCTGGGCACTGTTCCTGAGCCTTTTGCTCAAGGTTAGTGCTCTACCACTTTAGCCACAACTCTACTTCTAGGTTTTTGCTGGTTAATTGGAGATAGGAATCTCATGGACTTTACTTCCTGGACTGGCTTTGAACCTCAATCCTCAGGTATCAGCTGCATGAGTAGCTAGGATTTCAGGTATGAGCCATTGGCTCATGTGGATTAATGTTCCAGCTATGGAAAATGAAACAAAATATGCCATTCTAAACTGACATTAATTGGGAGCGGTACTGGGATTTGAACTTGGGCTTTGCTTGCTGGGCTGGCACTCTGCCATTTGAGCTACACCTCCAGCCTGTTGAGTGTGTGTGTATGTGTGTGTGTGTGTGTGTGTGTGTGTGTGTGTGTATACACGTGCATGCATGCCAATCCTGAGGCTTGAACTCAGGGCCTGGGCACTGTCCATGAGCTTCTTTTGTTCAAGTCTAGCATAGCACTCTACCACTTGAGCCACAGAGCCACTTCCGGCTTTTTCTGTTTATGTGGTACTGAGGAATTGAATCCAGGGCTTCATGCATGCTAGGCAAGCACTCTACCACTAAGCCACATTCCCAGCCTGACCCTGACATTTTTGTTGATGAGAGAGAAACTCACAGACATTTCAGTTTTGGCTGACTTCAAACTATCTGATATTAGAGATGGCTTGGGATGTTAGGGTATCACATAAGAATGAAGACACCAAAAGGAACTCAGCAAGGCAAAGTTTACTTCTGCAGAAGAGTGCACTATCAGCCAAAAATCTAGCAAGCAAGCACCCAGAACAGGCAGGCGACTCCCAAACCTAGCAGGCCTTGCCCTTCCTGTTCCTACTGACTGAGTGCAGGTTCACAATCTGCAAGAAGATATGGTTTAACAGCATGTAGCAAAATTTCAAGGCCCTTTAAACAAGATTTCTTAAAGGGCAGCTAGAAAGTATGTAACTAAAATATAACTAAAAGGGCCAAGCCACAGGGGGCTGGTGGCTCAAGTCTGTAATCCTAGCTACTTGGGAGACTTAGATCTGAGGATCACGGTTCAAAGCCAGCCCAGGCAGGAAAGTCCATGAGGCTCTTATCTCCAATAAACCACCAGAAAACTGGAAGTGGTGCTGTGGCTCAAGTGGTAGAGTGCTAGCCTTGTGCTGAAGAGCTGAGGAATAGCACTTAGGCCCAGAGTTCAAGCCCCATGACCGACCAAAAAAAACAAAACAAAAAAACGGCCAAGCCACTTGGCCAAAGCAGGAACTTTTCAGAAAAACAATTCTCAATATTAACAGAAAGGAAGCAAACTACTTTGATAGAAAAGACACTTTTCCCACACTGAGTAGCTAGGATTACAGGCATGAGCCACTGGTACCTAGCTCTGTGTGTGTGTGTGTGTGTGTGTGTGTGTGTGTGTGTGTGTGTGTGTGTGTGTGTGTGTGCTGGAGCTTGAACTCAGGGTCTGGTAGTGAACTCTGAGCTTTTGTGTTCAAAGCTAGTGCTCTATCACTTAAGCCACAGCTCTACTTCTGGCTTTTTTGGTAGTTAATTGGAGATAAGAGTCACAGGGACTTTCCAGCCAGGCTGGCTTCAAACTGCAATCCTTAGATCTCAGCCTCCTGAGTCGTTGGGATTACAGGCATGAGCCATCACTGCCCCACTTTCTCTTTAGTTACTAATGACCAAGTTCCTTTATTATTTTATTTATTTATTTATTTTTGTCAGTCGTGGGGCTTGAACTCAGGGCCTGGGCACTACCCCTGAGCTTCTTTTGTTCAAGGGTAGTGCTCTAGCATTTGAGCCACAGCGCCACTTCTGGCTTTTTCTATGTATGTGGTACTGAGGAATTGAACCCAGGGCCTCATGCATGAAAGGCAAGCACTCTACCACTGAGCCACATTCCCAGCCCCACAAGTTCCTCAACCTGGCATCCAATGTAGATAAATACATTTATGTCTATATCTCAATCAGGAATAATGGGATTAGATGGAATGGACTCAGGGCAGATCAACACAAAGCAACAGGCATAAGAATGACAGACTTATATGTTTCCACTTTTCTTGGTTTGCCTGGAGAATCCTCCCATCCTTTCTCTGGGGCACTGCTATCAAGTCCTATTTATTTATTAATTTATTATTTATTTTTGGTCATGGGGCCTAAACTCTGGGCCCAGCAGCTCTGTCCCTGAGCTTTTATGCTTAAGGCTAGCACTATACTACTTCTGGTTCTCTGGTGGTTAATTGGAGATAAAGAGTCTCACTGACACTGACTTTCCTGCCTGGGTTGGCTTTGAACCATGATCCACAGCTCTTAGCCTCCTGAGTAGCTAGAATTACAGGTGTAAGCCACCAATGCCCAGCCTACCAAGTACTTTCGAGCTTCAACATCTAAATAGATAATTGCCTGTTTGACAACTCCATATAGACTTACAATGACCAAACATGTTCCCAATGGAGGTTAGATTTATGCCTTCCCAGCTTTCTCCATCCTGTAATGAGTACATTTCTTTTTTTTTTTTTTGGTCGCCCATGGGGCTTGAACTCTGGGCCTGGGCGCTGTCCCTCAGCTCTTCAGCTCAAGGCGAGCGCTCTACCACTTGAGCTACAGCACCACTTCCGGCCTTCTCCATCCTGTATAGCACACAAGCTATGCTCCAAACATACTAAACAAGCACTCTATGAATTATATCTGTAATCCTTCAGATTTTAAGTCTTCATTTGCAGTTAGAAAATTTAATTCAGTGGTACAGTGTTTATCTTGAGGTCCTTCTATCCCTAACACTGCCAATAAATAAAAGATAAATAAAATCTTCATTTCATTCTCACTTTTTGCCCTCATTTTGTTGTTTTGAGGCTTTTGTTTTGTTTTGGTTGGTCATGGGGCTTGGGCCTGGGCACTGTCCCTGAGCTCTTCAGCTCAAGGCTAGGGCTCTACCACTTGAGCCACAGTACCATTTCCGGTTTTCTGGTGGTTAATTGGAGATAAGAGTCTCATGGACTTTCCTGCCAAAGCTGGCTTTGGACTATGATCCTCAGATCTCAGCCTCCTGAGTAGCTAGAATTACAGGCATGAGCCACCGGCGCCCAGCTTTGTTTCATTTTCAAGGCAGAATCCTTCTGTGTAGCCCAAGCTGGCCTCCAACTCCTACTAATCTTCCCACCTAAGCCTCCTAAGTGCTGGAATTATAGGTACACACCATCACACACTCAACTTTTTCCCCTATCAGTCACCAGTTTCACTACCAGCACTCTTCCCTAGTTCCAACCATTTTCATCCCTCACCCAGACCACAGATTAATTGCCCATCTGAAGTATCTCCTACTAACTGCAGCTCCTATTCACTACTAGATTTCCCCTTTCATGGATCCTATCACAAACTAAGTTCTATGAATTTGTTACAGATTGTTCTACCAGCCAAACTATAAACTCTGTGATGGTAGAGCCCTATGTTATTCATTCCAAAAATACTTATCATGTGCCTTAGTTCCAGTTGTAGGCGATAAGGCCAGAAGCAGGGATAGGAGGGCTTGTGTAGCAATTGTGTGTCCCCCTCACCCCCCTGCAAGTTGGAGAAAAACAGACACAGAAGGTTGATCTTGCCCCAGACTCTGCATTATGGACAGCAGATGA